CTTGGCGGGGAGCCTGCTTCCCTTTCTCTCCCTGCCTCACTCTGCCTACTTGTGATTGCTGCCAAATAAATAAAATCTTAAAAAAAAAAAAAAAAAGGAAAGAAGAAAGAGGATATCACAACCAACACAAAAGAAATACAATCAATTATAAGAACATATTATGAGCAACTATATACCAGCAGATTTGACAATCTGGAAGAAATGGATGCATTCCTAGAGACATAGAAACTACCAAGACTGAAAAAGTGGGAAATCTGAACACAGACTAGGTACTGATTTATTCTTCCTTTTCCTCAGATGATAACAGTATTGTGGTTATGATAAAAAATATTCTTCTAGAGAAAAAATCTTTCAGAGAAATAGTATATGGAGAAAATGGCATGATATCTGGGATTTGTGGCTTAAAAATGTGGTGTGAGGGAATTATAAATAAAGCTGATCATGTGTTAAAAATTGATGAAGCTTGTTTGTGTGTACACTGAGGCTCATTTTTCTCTCCAGAGTCCCCTGCTGAAACTCTCATCCCTTCTGCTTCAATATGGACTATTTCCTCTCAAGGCCTGATGCACACCTGCTTCTTCAGAACTTCCTTTCACTATTAAATGAGGAATTCTATTCACCCCTTTTCTGTGTTCAATCTCATGTTCTCTGGATCCCACATCTTTCTCTTGATTTACTCTCACGTAATAGTAGAGCACAGCTTCAAATAAATTCCTAAGAAAGGAAGCAGATGTAAAATTTTTAGTGTAATAAATTGTATTTATTCTCAAAGCTAACTGAAAAATACAAATGGACACAAAATTCTAGGTTGGAAATTATTTTCCTTCACAATGTATTCTATTGCCCTTAGGATTTCAGTGCTACTGTTGAGAAGTCTGAAACCATTCTTTCCCCCTAATCCTTCATTATGGTTTCTATGTAATAAGCTCTCTCTGTTTTTCCTCTCTTGGAAATAAAGTATTTTCCTTATAGTCTGGTCCTCTGAAATTTTACAATACGCCTTGGCATGGGTCTTTTTTCATTCACTATACAGAGTCTTTGTTGCACTTTCAGTTCACACCCACCAATACTAGGCTATTTTCTGGTGAATTTCCTATCCTACATTTTCATTCATTTATTTATTTAGTAAGATTTTATTTATTTATTTGACAGAGATCACAAGTAGGCAGAGAGGCAGGCAGAGAAGAGTGAGGGGGAAGCAGGCTCCTTGCTGAGCAGAGAGAGCTCGATGTGCGGCTTGATCCAAGGACCCTGGGATCATGACCTGAGCTGAAGGCAGAGGCTTTAACCCACTGAGCCACCCAGGTGCCCCTATCCTACATTTTCTTTGTTCTTTTTTCTTATATTCTAGGATCAATCCTGGATCAATCTGTTAGCTTAATTTTTTGGTCCTACTTGAGGAAAGAATTCTTGAGCTTACTTTCCCAATCTTTCCACTGTCTCTGTTTGCTTTTAGTTATCCTACATAAAAATTTTCAAGATATCCTTATTCTTTGACTGATCCTTTAGTAATAGAGCATCATATTCTTTTTTTTACAGATGGAGTATGTTCTCTTAGTCCTCTGAAGGTGTGGTAGAGATGGAGGGTTAAATTTCTTCGGCTACCTGTTTACTTTCCTCAAATTTCTGCCTTTCTTTTTTTTTTAAAGATTTTATTTATTTATTTGAGAGTGAGTGAGTGAGAGAGAAAGAGCATGAGCAGGGAGGGGGTAGAGGAAGAGGGAGAAGGAGACTCCCCACTGAGCAGGGAACCTGCGTGGGACTCAGTCCCACCTGAATCAAAGACAGACAATTAATCGACTGACCCACCCAGGCATCCCCCTACAAATTTCTTTTGTTGTCAGTCTTCCACACTAAATCCTTTCATCAAGTATCATTTTTTTATATTTATTTATTTGAGAGGGGGAGCAGCAGGCAGAGGGAGCAGGCTCCCCACTGAGCAAGGAGCCTGATGCAGGATTAGATTCCACAACCATGGGATTGTGACCTGAATGAAGGCAGGCTTAACCACTGAGCCACCCCATCATCCAATATCTAATGATTCTTCCCAATTACCTGGTAATTCTTACATGTTGGAAGCCTTCATTAAATATCTCGAACTCCTTGATAACTGTGGTAATCATGACTAACCATTCACATTCAAGGGTAAGGTACTAAAAACATTGATTAGAACTCACAGGCTTTCTCTAGAAAGATTGGGTGGGGAGTTTAATGCCAGTTTTCTGTGGGTCTATTCTCTGGGGCCATTCAGTTCTTCTAGTAAAGGATCCTCTATCTTTTGCCTGGGTTAAAGAGTTACTAGCTTGGGTGCCTGGGTGGCTCAGTGGGTTAAAGCCTCTGCCTTCAGCTCAGGTCATGATCCCAGGGTCCTGGGATCGAGCCCCACATTGGGCTCTCTGCTCAGCAGAGAGCCTTCCTCTCTCTCTGCCTGCCTCTCTGCCTACTTGTGATCTCTGTCAAATAAATAAATAATATCTAGTATATTAATAATTAATTAATATCTATTATTAATTAATAATTAATAATATCTAATAAGCTAGTAAGCTTATTACAAAGGCTACCAAGGTTCTGGGAGCTGAGCAGGGAACTAAATTGAAGGTTTTACTATTCAGTATACAGACTTTCATGTAATTTGCATGTTTTCACCAAAGCAACTCACCCACATCCTCCACGGTATCTAAGGATGGCTATGTCTGGAGATTTGTGTTTCAATTTCTTGAGAGAATAAACCTACCTCCAGTGGAGTTTTAAAGTGGAGGTAGAGTGAGACAAACAGAAATGGCCTAGCTTACGTGTAGAGGGACCATGGTATTAATTATCCATACACAATTTTTTTCCACCAACTCCAGTTTTTAGGCCTATACCTCATTATTATCATCAGTAATCACAGGTGCTTCTCAATAACTAAGCAACTTTAGGATTCTGTGTGTCAAGCCAGAACTGCCTCTAGTTGGCATCTTTTTCTGTAAAATTTAAGCAGCCTTCATTTCTCATTTTCCATACTCTGGCATGGTATTAACGGGCATCTCCTAGTTTCAAGGATGGCATTTATATATCTTTTTTTTTTTAATTTTTTAAAAAGATTTTATTTATCTATTTGACAGAGAGGGAGATCACAAGTAGGCAGAGAGGCAGGCAGAGAAAGAAGAGGAAGCAGGCTCCCCAATGCGGGGCTCAATCCCAGGACCCTGAGATCACGACCCGAGCCAAAGGCAGAGGCTTTAACCCACTGAGCCACCCAGGCACCCCTCAAGATAATTTATAATGGTGGGGGGAGTTTTGCCCTGCCATATCAAAAATCTTTAAGATATAATTATCACTTGGGCACCTGGGTGGCTGAGTTGGTTAAACATATGTGTCTAGCCTGGGTCACGATTCCAGAGTCCTGGGATCAAGTCCCTCATCAGGATCTCTGCTTAGCAAGGAGTCTGCTTCTCCCTTTTCCTCCTGCCCCTCATCCCTGCTCATACTGTCTCTCTCAAATAAATAAATACAATCTGAAAAAAAAACAAAAAAAAAACAAAAAAAACCCAAAAAACCTAAGGAGAGAGAGTGTGAACAGCTGTGTCAGTGGGGGGAAGAGGGAGAGAATCCCAAGGCTATATACACAACCCTGAGATAATGACCTGAGCCAAAATCAAGAGTCGGACATGTAACCAACTGAGACACTAAGGCGCACCTCTAACCTGTTCATTCTTTTTTTTTAAATTTTTTTATTTTTATTTATTTGACAGAGAGAGATCACAAGTAGTAAGAGAGGCAGGCAGAGAGAGAGAGGAAGAAGCAGGCTCCCTGCTGAGCAAAGAGCCCGATGCGGGGCTCGATCCCAGGACCCTGGGATCATGACCTGAACTGAAGGCAGAGGCTTAACCCACTGAGCCACCCAGGCGCCCTAACCTGTTCATTCTTAACTTCTGTCTCTCTCCACTTACTTTCTCAATGGAACGATAAATCATAACATTAGGGGCTATGGTTGTATCTTGGTAATGAATGAACTGTGTTTTGAGGAGCTGACAGAACTGACAGCTGACAAAACTCTGTGTTTTTGTGAGTAGCAGAGCTGTCATGCCAGCTTATCCACAGAACCCATCATTAGCACAGGGATTACTATTCATCTTCAAATCTAAATTATGTTAGTATTTCTTCTGCAAGCACCCACAGGAGTGAGCTTCTCTAAACGATGCACAGAACTCACACCAAACTAAACAAGATGTTTGAGAAGGTAATTTTTCTTTGTAGCATATAGAAACTATTTTCTGTGTTCAAGGAACTGAAAAGCTATATTTTTGTGTTTTGGGTTCACATTTCTTTAAATACGTATCACTTGAGAAGAGTAGGGGTTGGAAAATGGAAAGTAGGGAGGAAAAAACTCCCAGCTTCAGAAGGATTCCCCACTATTCCTTTGCCTTCATTATGCAGAAAGGCTAAACTAAACTTTATAGCTCAACAAAGTTTCTAAGGCACCATCTTTCTCTCCAGTGAGGGTAGCGAGACAATGTTTTATTTCAAGACGGTTTCAGTCCAGGGAAATGCTACAGGACCACCACAACTGCTTAGTTTGAACAGAATTAAAATAATCTTACATACACTGCTGAGAGTGCAGCTGTAGCGGCTGGTTTTACACATTTCCTAAAGTGTTACTTTTAATAGCCCCAAACAAGAAAAGTCCCAGGACTACAAAAGTGCATCCTAACACTTTTAGTTACAGCAGAGATGTTACAGTATTACAGCCTGATGAGTTATTATAGCTTTATTTCAGATTACAGAAATGATCTATAAAATCTTTATTGTCCTCAATAAGAGGTCTTCTCATTTCCCATTAACAAAAAGGTTGCAGCGGAGAAGATGCTTTTTTTTTTTAAATTGGTCTATTTGTTGGCTTTTTTTAGAAGAATGGTGCTCCTCTCTGAGAATTATCTATGGGAAGACAATTCTTATGCAAGTTATACAAACAAATAGCTATTACAATATCATAGTGTATATATCAATCCTAGACTTACCCTCAGAAGAAGCTCTGCTAAGATACAGCCAACAGCCCACATGTCCACACCTACACCATACATTCTAGCTCCAAAGAGTAACTCAGGGGCCCGATACCACCTGAAGAACAAAAAGAAATGTAATTTTAAAGATGAGATCGGGAGGGAGACAAACCATAAGAGACTCTTAATCTCACAAAACAAACTGAGGGTTACTGAGGGGAGGGCGGGGAGGGAGTGGGTGGTTGGGTTATGGACATTGGGGAGGGTATGTGTTACGGTGAGTGCTGTGAAGTGTGTAAACCTGACGATCCACAGACCTGTACCTGTGGAGCTAATAATACATTATGTGTTAATAAAAAATTATAAATTTTTTAAAAATGTAATTTAAAAATGCAATTATTAAAGTACTTCTGGGAGAAAACTCCTCAGCAAAACATCATCCCACTGATGAAATTTACTTTTATGTATTCCATTAACTCAAGAAAAACTGACTATAAAACCTAGCAGTTCCAGGACACCTGGGTGGCTCAGTTGGTTAAGTGTCTGCCTTCAGCTCAGGTAATGATCCCCAGGTCCTGGGATCGAGTCCCACATCAGGCTCCCAGCTCAGTGGGGAGCCTGGTTTTCCCTCTGCCTCTGTCTCTCTCTGTCTCTCATGAAGAAATAAAGAAAAAGTCTTTAAAAAAAAAAAAAGTAGTTCCATACTGGAAATGACACATGTCCTCGGCCCATATACTTTTCCATTTTTTTTTTTTTTAAGATTTTATTTCTTTATTTGACAGAGGGAGAGATCACAAGTAGACAGAGAGGCAAGGCAGAGAGAGGGGGGGAAGCAGGCTCCCTCTTGAGCAGAGAGCCTGATATGGGGCTTGATCCCAGGATCCTGGGATCATGATCCGAGCTGAAGGCAGAGGGTTTAACCCACTAAGCCACCCAGGTGCCCCTACTTTTCCATTTTTTTTTTTTTAAAGGGTTTGGTTTTTTTTTTTTTTTTTTTTTTAAGATTTCATTAATTTATTTGACAAATAAAGATCATAAGTAGGCAGAGAAGCAGGCAGGCAGAGAGAGAGGAGGAAGCAGGCTCCCTGCTGAGCAGAGAGCCTGATGTGGGGCTCAATCCCAGGACCCTGGGATCATGACCTGAGCTGAAGGCAGAGGCTTTAACCCAGTGAGCCACCCAGGCACCCCCAACTTTTCCATTCTTAAATGATTAATGCCTTCTCTCTTTCTGAAACTCTCAAAACCATCCTTCCTCTAAGCCACCTTATTTCCAACTTCACTGAAAAATATCCAAATAATTGGGGAAAAAAAAAAAAAAGAAAAAAGTAAAAACAATTCCACGGACTCACCTATAGTCTTTCATATTCACACAATCTCACAATCTGCCTTTCCCAACTGTAACTTCAGATGAACTGTCCTGGACTGTTTTAATGCCAATATGTCAACTTGGGGCACCAGGTACCATGCTCTCTTGCCTATTTTCTAAGATACCGAAATTCTTTCTCCTATATCAATGTTTTCTTCTTCACTAGACTTTTCCCACTAGTGTTCGAACATACGATAATTTCTTCAGCCTTAAAAAATAAACTAAAAAACAAAGTAATAAACAAGAAAAACTTCTTTAGGCCCAACTTCCTGTAACAGCTACCTCCACATTCTCTGGTTATTCTGAAATAACCAGAATAACCTCTTACTATCTGTTTTTACTATCTCCAGTTCCTATTTTCTTCTCCTTTTTTTTTTTTTTAACATTCTATCTATTCATTTGACAGAGAAATCACAAGCAGGCAGAGAGGTAGGCTGAGAGAGAGAGGGGGAAACAGGCTCCCTGCTGAGCAGAGAGCCCGATGTGGGGCTCGATCCCAGGACCCTGAGATCATGACCCAAGCCAAAGGCAGAGGCTTTAACCCACTGAGCCACCCAGGTGCCCCTTCTTATCCTTTTAAAAACTCTTTCAGGGGGTGCCTGGCTGGCTCAGTTGGTACAGCATATAACTCTTGCTCTCAGGGTCCTGACTTCAAGCTCCAGGTTAGGCCTACACAGAGCTTCCTTTAAAAAACACAAACACGGACGCCTGGGTGGCTCAGCTGGTTAAATGTCTGCCTTCAGCTCAGGTCATGATTTCAGGGTCCTGGGACTGAGCCCCACATTGGGCTCCCTGCTCAGCAGGGAATCTGCATCACCCTCTCCCTTTGCCTCCTCCTCGCTGTTTATGCAGTCTCTGTCGCTCTCTCAAATAAAATCTTAAAACAAAACAAAACAAAACAAAAATCTAATCCTACACAATATAAACTTTAAATTTTTTTAAACCAGTTCTTACCTGGTTACAACCTGATGTGTATAAGCTCTATTGGGGCTCCCAAATGATTTGGCCAGGCCAAAATCTGCCAGTTTTAGAACTCCATTTTCATCTAATAACAAGTTGTTTGGTTTTAGATCCTGTATCATGGAGATTTTAAATAAACATGTCAGCAGGTGGTAGAGAATACCATAATGCTACATTTAGTTGGCTTAACTTTAAACGTGGCAAAAAACAGGGTAAAACCCTAAATTTAAACAACAATCAGTACTTTTTTTTCATTGACTTAAAATCTTACTAATGCTAAATAAGACTGGTTATATTACTTGGTGAGACCTTGGATCAAGACCTTGGGTCACTGAGCTTCCAATTTACCTACCTCAGAGGGTTGCTGTGAGGATTAAATTTAGCGTTTTCTATAAAGAGGCTACTGCAATGACTAGGAACTCAATAAACAGTTCCTGCTATTTATTTAATAACAGTAATACATAGGAATTTCAGTAAATAAAAATATGATGCATTTAGAGAGGATGAGGAACAAATTCTTCAAAATATATACTAAAAAGATATTAGCAATAACGTAAAAGGGATTCTAAGTTAAAGGTATGAGAATTACTGACTATATGTATTCTTAGCTATTTATCTAAATAGAGTGCCTAAGAACATCTACCTATTGATATTATCAGCCTTGTTTCAAGAGCTGAACGTTTCTAACATTGACTCAACCATTTCAGAAACTTTATTACTTCACAGAATTTTAGAGTTACTAAAAATATTTTTTCTAAAAATATTTTAGTGTTGTAGAATTTAATCCAGACTCACTGTATTTTTTTCCCCTTGTCACAATAGTACAGGTATAGCACAAAGAACACTGGACTTAAAGCCAAAACATGTAGATTTTAATATTCTGTCAGTTACTAGCTACTGACCTTGAAAAAATATATATAACCTTGGTCAGGTGATAGAGCAACTTATCTTTTCACCTAAGAAAAAAATGAAGAACTGGGTCTCTTCTATTTCTAAATTTTATGTAGCATTTTATGGTCTTCATGTCACCACCTGGTAGAAAAACTGAAGGGAACACCCAGAGGAAGATGGGAAAAAAATGGCCGGGCTCTATTTTTATTTTAAAATACACATATTTAGACCATTTATGTAATAACTGACTATATTAAACTTGACTAAAACATAAAGAATCAATCATATTGGTTAAAAACCTTACCCTATGTAGAATCCAATGCTGATGTAAATATTCTAACCCTTGAAGAGTCATCAACATGTAGGCTTTGATGTGTGATGGTGTCAACACAAGACTATTATCCTTTATTATAACCTGTAAACCCGGTGTATATATACAATTATTCCAAATAAATCACACCATATAAAATCACATACAGACATAAAATGAGTTTATCCATCATATAGGAGAATCTGAAGAAACACTGACTAACTCTCCTTAGGAAGCACTGTGAGAATTTCCAGTTACGTGATTAGGGCAAGTATCTCTGCTGGTGCATTCTTTCCTACTTCTTTGTTTAAAAGGCATTAACACAGTGAACATTTGTTGTTTTGCTTGCCCCAGGATGTATAGCCCCTTCTGATAACAGCATTCAGCATTCCTTTGGGATATCACCTGGTTAAAATAGAACTGACCACTACCAGTGTCCTCTAGAAGTAGATACATGACCCATGCATAGCCAACCACCACAATGAAGCCTGCTGTCCAAAAGACTGGTTTAGGGATGGACATGTGATCTAAGCCAAGCTAATCCAACAGGCCAACTACTTCTGTTAGAAACTAAGGGAACAAAGCACCTTCCTTCCTAACAGATTATTAAACTCTTAAGGATATAAACCTGAGGTGCCTAAGTCACTACTCTGAGAAATTAAGCCCATGAAGAAAGGCCACAAAGAAGAAAACAGTCGAGCTAAAGTGCAAGACTGAGTTTTCCATGGCATTATTTGAGAACTGTGCTTAAAGCCAGTTTATTCCTACATTTGTAAGTTATATTAGCTAAAAGTTCCCATTTTCTTTTTTTAGAAATCAGATTTAGATAAAAGGTATCCTGGGCTGCCTGGGTGGCTCAGATGGCAGGTGGCTCAGGTCATGACCCCAGGATTCTAGGATCGAGTCCTGCATAAGGCTCTCTGCAAAGCAGGACTCTCCCTTTGCCTGCTGCTCTGCCCCACCCTGCTTGTGTCTTCTCTCTCTCTGTCAAATAAATAAAATCTTTAAAAAAAAAAGGTATCCAAATTGGCAAGAAGTAAAACTTACACTATTTACAGATGACATACTATATATAGAAAACCCTAAATATTCCACCAAAAAACTACTATAACTGATCACTGAATTCAGTAAAGTTGCAAGATCCAAAATCCAAAATACAGAAATCTATAGCATTTTTATATACTAATAATGAAGTAACAGTAAGAGAAATTAAGAGAATAATTCCATTTACAAAAAAAAAAAAAAAAAAAAAAAAAAAA